GGTCGAATTTGAATGTTCGACCTTATAGGGGGTGAGCCGAGCCGCTCGTAGGGGCTGTAGGTTACCAGGTATAATTTTGTAGACATCGCGCCACTTCAACATACTTATTACGAATTTTGACGAGGGTTACATTGTGTCGCAAAAAAATTCGTAGAGCTCGTTAATTGTTGTACGTGCGCAAAACCACACACGTTCGGTTCACTGTACGCGCCCACATTAATGCATACTCGAGTCGAGTTCGGAAAACCTAGGTCGAATTTGCCAAGGCTTCAAAAGGAAAGTCTTTCGTCACAAAGCTTTCGCGAAATTAACGAATCGGGTAACCAGACAAAAATCGACCTGATTTTCGAACCTAGAAAAAAATCATACACGTCCTAAAAACTCTGTCCTAAAAACTCGCTTTCCAGCTAGCAGCTTCTCGTCTGATAGGAATTCGTTATTCGCTACCAGCGAGAAAGTGATTGACAACCGTATTCGCTACAAAAATACCATTTTTCTATTTGGATCGTTCTGCGCTAAAGTTCTGTACTTTTCAGCCAATGTCGGCCGTCCTTGTACCCGATTTGCATACCAAGCCTATTGCGAGGATGAGCTGAGAAAGTCGGAGCTATTTGCGAAGAGTTTCGGTAGCCTTCTCGCCTTCGCCCTTTCGGCTGGTGAACACCTGGTTACGTCCCCTAGAAATAGAAGTTCGCTTACTCGTCCGTCGTCGTCGACACAGAAACGTCATGCTGCGAAAATGTTCGGATCCCAAGGACTGCCGAAAATCAAGTCATGCACTGTTCAAAAGACTAAGGGCGCGTCCCCTCCCTCGGTCGATCGTGCGCAGGATCGATACTGCGCACGGTTTAGAATGGTTTACAAAGTCGAAAATAGGAAAACGCAGGAGTTTAGTATGGTGGACGATCGATCGTCGTCGATTTTGCACGATCGATCGAAAGAGGGGACGCGCCCTAAATACCACTTATGACACAGCTTCTCGCAGCGCAGATCTCCAATAACGGGGTTTTCTATACCGCATACGATCAGATCTGTCGTATTGACGTCATATGCGATATTTTGGTCGATGATTCTTTTCCTACAGGGTGCATCATAGAATCGAGCCGGATTGCGTCCCCGCACGGTGCTCACCGTCAGAGGTTCGCCTCCTTGGGAATACCGCACGGAGCTCACCGTACGGTCCTTATGGAACGTGACTGACGATAACCACCGTTAACCACTCGGTCCACCGTGTCGCGGTTTGAGAAAACGTCCCCGCGCCGCGACGTCGCGCACTCGGTCGCACCAGTCGTGGAACGTGACTGCACGTTAACCACTCGGCGCGCTCTGCTCCTCCCCGCGGCTCGCTCCCGCGCGGCATGGCGGGTGGCGGTCGGCCCGAGGGGTACCGCGAGGGGCGCGCGTGGAAGGCGCGTGTACTGTCGACGACGGCCACTGGAGGTGCGTTGGCGCGACGCGTAGGGTAGTGTTATGAGGGGCTAGCGAGTGGTTTCTCAGAAGCAACCTCATACGGTGAGGGGCGCGCGTGGAAGGCGCGCGTGCTGTCGACGACGGCCACCGGAGGTATGTTCGGTGTGCGTCGGGGATGGAGGTGCGTTGGTGACTTCTGTGGAACGTTGGGTGTCCTCGCAGGTGGAACGCGCGCGTGCTGTGTTGACCTTTGAGACGACTCAAAAGTCAACTTGGGTATCTTAGCAGGTAGAACGCGCGCGTGCTGTAAACCACGGCCACTGCAGGTGTGTTGGCGACACGACACGGGGAGTGTGCTGGTATGGCGGCTGAGTCAAAAGCCACTTAGCGCGTGGAAGGTGCGCGTGGAAGGTGCACGTGCGCTTTCCGCCACGGCCAACGGGAGGTGCGTTGGTGTGACGGGGGGTGGACCGTGGATCGTTGGAGCAGGAGCAGTGTTAGTGAATGGTGGGGGGAGTGGCGGCAGCAGCGGTGGGGGCAGCACCGCCGCGAGCAGCACAGTCTTTGAGGCGCCGCAGATTCCCTCCCGTTTGCACCCCTCGCACCCTTCCCCTGTCAGTCAGCTGTGTTGTGTTGGGAGTGGCTTGGGGAATGGTGGCACTGACTTTTGAGGCCCTTAAAAAAAGCCTCCCTCTTGCGCCCCCCAATTCCCCCCTGCCAGCCGTGCTGGGAATGGCGGGTGGTGTAGCAGCAGCACTGTCAGCAATACTGATTTTCAAGCCACCTCTAAAACCCTCTCACTTGCTCCCCCCAACACATTCTGGTCCCTGCCAGCCATGCTGGGAATGGCGGGTGGCATGGCTGCAGCAGCAGTGGGGGCAGCACCGCCAGCAGCAGCTATCGTTGCCGTCACCAGCAACTGCTGCATCGCTGCTTTCTGTGTAGCAGGTAGGACGTGGGGAAGGTAGTGCTTGGGGCAGGTGGCATTGCGGCAGCAGCAGCGATTGTCGCTGTCACCAGTAACTGCTGCATCGCTGCTTTCTGTGTGGCAGGTAGGCAGGACATACGGGAGGTAGTTCGTGGGGGGGGTAGGGTGTGTGGCAGTTAGGGTGTGTGGCAGGTAGGGTGTGTGGCAGTTAGGGTGTGTGGCAGTTAGGGTGTGTGGCAGTTAGGGTGTGTGGCAGTTAGGGTGTGTGGCAGTTAGGGTGTGTGGCAGTTAGGGTGTGTGGCAGTTAGGGTGTGTGGCAGTTAGGGTGTGTGGCAGTTAGGGTGTGTGGCAGTTAGGGTGTGTGGCAGTTAGGGTGTGTGGCAGTTAGGGTGTGTGGCAGTTAGGGTGTGTGGCAGTTAGTGTGTGTGGCAGGTAGGGTGTGTGGCAGGTAGGGTGTGTGGCAGGTAGGGTGTGTGGCAGTTAGGGTGTGTGGCAGTTAGGGTGTGTGGCAGTTAGGGTGTGTGGCAGTTAGGGTGTGTGGCAGTTAGGGTGTGTGGCAGTTAGGGTGTGTGGCAGTTAGGGTGTGTGGCAGTTAGGGTGTGTGGCAGTTAGGGTGTGTGGCAGTTAGGGTGTGTGGCAGTTAGGGTGTGTGGCAGTTAGGGTGTGTGGCAGTTAGTGTGTGTGGCAGGTAGGGTGTGTGGCAGGTAGGGTGTGTGGCAGGTAGGGTGTGTGGCAGTTAGGGTGTGTGGCAGTTAGGGTGTGTGGCAGTTAGGGTGTGTGGCAGTTAGGGTGTGTGGCAGTTAGGGTGTGTGGCAGTTAGGGTGTGTGGCAGTTAGGGTGTGTGGCAGTTAGGGTGTGTGGCAGTTAGGGTGTGTGGCAGTTAGGGTGTGTGGCAGTTAGGGTGTGTGGCAGGTTGGGTGGGAAGGGGCATGGCAGCACCAGCAGGGGGGGGCAACCCTAGCAGCAGCAGCAATAACTGCTGTCGCCTCACCAGCAACTGCTGTATTGCTGCTTTCTGTGTGGCAGGTAGGACGTGGGAAAAGTAAGTTGCGGTTCAGGTGATACGCGCAGGGAAGGTGGCATGGTGGCAGCAGTGGTGGGGTGGGGGCAGCACCACGAGCAGCAGCGATCGTTGCCATACCCCCCACCTCACAACCCCCCCACCCATCCCTTCCACCCCTCACCACACCGTAAAAGTTGTAACCCCACCACCCCCTCCATCCACTTCCCCCTGTTTCCCCCTTCAGGTATGGAGGGAGCAGTGAGGGAGGTGTGATACTCCCTGGCCTCTGACCTTCGTTGAACAACCACCTGTGGCTCCCTTTCCCCCCTCCACGTCACCCCTCCACCTCTCCACCCGTCCACCCGTCCACCTTTCCCATACTTCCCCTTGGCCCGCTTTCAGGTCTGGAGGAGGCAGTGAGGGAGGTGCGATTCTCCCTGGCCCCCGACCCTTGAGGCGCCTCAAAAGTGCGATTCTCCCAGGCCCCCGACCCCACCAACGGGCTGCTGGGGGTGATCAGACCACTCCCCTTTCGCCCTTCCCCCCTTCATCTTCCCCTTCGCAGGTCTGGAGGGGGTAGTGAGGGAGGTGCTCTGGCCTCCGACTCCACTAATGGGCTGCTGGGGGGCGATCTCAACGCGCCTCGACCCGCTCTTCCCCCCTTTATCAACTCCCCCCTTTTCAGGTCTGGAGGACGCAGTGAGGGAGTTGCGATTCTTTCTGGCCTCCAACCCCACTAACGGGCTGCTGGGGGGCGCTTTGACCGCCGCTCTACTTACCCGCCCTTCCCCCCTCACCCACACCCTCTCAGGTCTGGATGAGGCAGTGAGGGAGGTGCGATTCTCTCTGGCCTCTGACCACCTGTTTATCTGCCCCTCCTCTTTTTCATCTCCCCCCTCTGCAGGTCTAGAGGAGGCAGTCAGGGAGGTGCGATTCTCTCTTGCCTCCGACCCCACCAACGGGATGCTGGGGGGCGCTCTGACCGCCGCTCTACTTACCCGCCCTTCCCGCTTTGACATCCCCCACGCCCCCACACCCTCGCTCAGGTCTAGAAGAGGCAGTGAGGGAGGTGCGATTCTCTCTGGCCTCCGACCCCACTAATGGGCTGCTGGGGGGGGCTCTGGCTGGGGCACTCTTTGGCCGGCTGAGGGGTGAGAACGTGGGAGGGTGGGAGAGGAGTAAGAGGGGGATTGGAGAGAAAAGGGGGTGGGTTGGGAAGGGTGTAAGAGATGCGGTTTTCTCTGGCCTCCGACCCCACTAATGGGCTGCTGGGGGGTGCGCTAGCGGGGGCTCTCTTTGGGCGACTGCGAGGTGAAAAGGGGTGGGGAGGGGTGAGAGGGACAGGTGGGAACGGTGAGGGTGAGAGGTGAGAGGGAGCAAGGCGGGTGGAAACGTGAAGTCCAGGCGAAGGGGTGTAACATAAAGAATAACCTTTGTTCCAGTCCAGCAGTCATGGGGCATAAGAGGAGTGTTTTTGTAGATGTCTCAAGAATGTCCTCTGTTCCAACAGTCATGGCATAAGAGGAATTATATAGGTGTCTCAAAAATAGTCATGTGGCATAAGTGGACAGTTCACGTTTCGCATCCACCTTCTCCTTTCCCCTGTTGCCTTTCCCCTTTCTTCCAGGCAGCAGAGACATCGCCATCCGGGCAGCTGTAATGTTTGGCCTGGCCGGGGCAGGGCACTGGGCAGCAGTCGAAACTTTCAAGGAGTGGCGCATTCAGCAGCTCATGGCTGCCCGCATGGCTGACCGCACAGCCAACTCTCCTGCCTCCCATGCACACATGGCAGCAGACACAGGTGCTGGAGAAATCGCAACCGATGGGAGGAGTGAAACCACAGCAGGCACAGCAGCTAGTGCAGCCACTGCAGCATCTTCTTCCCCACCAGAAACCACTGCAGCGCCCCTCTCACAATCACCACCAGCAGCAGCAGCAGGAACCCAGGCAGGGGCACTGCAGGGGAAGGAGCAGGGCGTGGGGGAGCGCGGCGAGCAGGCAGGGGTGAAGGCGGCAGGGCAGTGGGAGTGGCCCGAATGGCTTCCTGTGAGGCGGTTAGGCGAGGAGGAGGTGAAGCAGCGGCAGGAGGAGTTCAGACGGAGAGTGGCTGTGGCACAAAGGCTGGAAATGGCTGGATCAGGGAGGGAGGGAGGTATGGGAGGTGCCGAGGGGAGGGAGAAAGGCGGGTGAGGGTTGGCACGGGGAAGGAGCAGGGCGTGGGGGCGCGGGGCGAGCAGGCAGGGCAGTGGGAGTGGCCCGAATGGCTTCCTGTGAGGCGGTTAGGCGAGGAGGAGGTGAAGCAGCGGCAGGAGGAGTTCAGACGGAGAGTGGCGGCGGCGCAAAGGCTGGAAATGGCTGGATCAGGGAGGGAGGGAGGTATGGGAGGTGCCGAGGGGAGGGAGAAAGGCGGGTGAGGGTTGGCACGGGGAAGGAGCAGGGCGTGGGGGCGCGGGGCGAGCAGGCAGGGCAGTGGGAGTGGCCCGAATGGCTTCCTGTGAGGCGGTTAGGCGAGGAGGAGGTGAAGCAGCGGCAGGAGGAGTTCAGACGGAGAGTGGCGGCGGCGCAAAGGCTGGAAATGGCTGGATCAGGGAGGGAGGGAGGTATGGGAGGTGCCGAGGGGAGGGAGAAAGGCGGGTGAGGGTTGGCACGGGGAAGGAGCAGGGCGTGGGGGCGCGGGGCGAGCAGGCAGGGCAGTGGGAGTGGCCCGAATGGCTTCCTGTGAGGTGGCTAGGCGAGGAGGAGGTGAAGCAGCGGCAGGAGGAGTTCAGACGGAGAGTGGCGGCGGCGCAAAGGCTGGAAATGGCTGGATCAGGGAGGGAGGGAGGTATGGGAGGTGCCGAGGGGAGGGAGAAAGGCGGGTGAGGGTTGGCACGGGGAAGGAGCAGGGCGTGGGGGCGCGGGGCGAGCAGGCAGGGCAGTGGGAGTGGCCCGAATGGCTTCCTGTGAGGCGGTTAGGCGAGGAGGAGGTGAAGCAGCGACAGGAGGAGTTCAGACGGAGAGTGGCGGCGGCGCAAAGGCTGGAAATGGCTGGATCAGGGAGGGAGGGAGGTATGGGAGGTGCCGAGGGGAGGGAGAAAGGCGGGTGAGGGTTGGCACGGGGAAGGAGCAGGGCGTGGGGGCGCGGGGCGAGCAGGCAGGGCAGTGGGAGTGGCCAGAATGGCTTCCTGTGAGGTGGCTAGGCGAGGAGGAGGTGAAGCAGCGGCAGGAGGAGTTCAGACGGAGAGTGGCTGCGGCGCAAAGTAATGGCCTTGGGGGGGGGGAGGGAGGGAGGCGTGGGAGAGGCCGGGGAGGGTGAGAAGGGGGAGTGAGGGATAAGATAGGGCAGTTGGGGCGCATGAGCGGAGCCTCTTGTGCGAATTTTCTTTCACCCGATTCTGTTGCTTAGGGACATGCTTTTGCGCAGCACAGCTCTTTTTCATTATCAAAAGCCTGCCGGTTCACAGCGCAGACTTGGCATTAGAGAATTCTCAAAAACCAGCTCGTATCAAAAACCAGCTCGTATCAAAAAACAGCTCCTTTTTATTATCAAAAGCCTGCCGGTTCACGGGGCAGACTTGGCATTTCCAGATTTTGCAGGCGGCAGTGCAGGCAGAGTATACCGTAGTACATGGAATGAGCGTGATTGCTGCATTTGCTATGGACTGAAGTGAATGCAAGCCTACCATTGGCTGGCTGAAAGGTTCTTCAGCCATCATGAGTGCAGTTGACAAATCTGTACCGTATTGACGGTTTACTGGTAACCGAATAACAAAGCAAGTCACTACACTAGAGCATACACTCGTGCTCAACATCTTCTAATCTGTATAGCCTACCTAGTATTGCAATACAAAGTATCGACAAAACATGAACTAGCATCCCATGTTGGCAGTCTCAGTCTCGTGCAAAGCATCCTGCCTCGCCCTCCTCTCACCCTGCCCCTTTAGCTGCAGGCCCTCTCTCTCTGTAGCTCGCCCCTCACTCCTCCTCCTCCTCGCTCCCATCCCCCAGGGACGCAGCATTGGGGTCTTCAGGAGGCGAAGACACACACTTGGTGGCGGCAGGGTCACACCCATCGTACTCCTGGAGGTCAGAGCGCGAGGCAAGCTGCTCCTTGGTGAAGCACGCACAGCGCGTGTCCTCACTGCCCCCAACTGGGCCCCCTTCTGCTTCGGGGATTCGGGGGATTTTCCGCGGCACACCAGAGTCACACCACACCTGGGAGAGACGGTTAAAGGGAGAGAGGGAGAGAGGGAGAAAGGGATAGGGGAAGGAGGCGGCATGGGGGAAGTAAGGGGGGGAGAAAGAGACACACTTGGTGGCGTCAGGGTCGCACCCATCGTACTCCTGAAGGTCAGAGCGCGAGGCAAGTTGCTCTTAGTGAAGCACGCACAGCGCGTGTCCTCACTACCCCCCACTGCCCCCCCCTCTGCCTCGGGGATTCGAGGGATCTTCCGAGGCACCCCGCTGTCACACCACACCTGGGAGAGAGGGGATGGTGGAGATGAGGGGATGGAGGAGGAAATATGCTAGCTGGTATAAGGCTCACATCCATCGCACAGCCGCAAAATGCACCAAAATGCTACTGGCATTGGTGATGCGGGAGGGGAAGGGGTTTGGTGCAGTGGTAGGGAAGGGGGGGGTGGGGGTGTGCGATTGGAGGAGACGAGGGTGCCAGGGTTTGGGGCAAGTAGGTGGGTGGGTTGAGATTGAAAAGGAAAAGAATCATTGCTCATAACGGGAGAAACGAAACAGGAAGGGACTAGGGTGACTAGGGTGACTAGGGTGACTAGGGTGACTAGGGTGACTAGGGTGACTAGGGTGACTAGGGTGACTAGGGTGACTAGGGTGACTAGGGTGACTAGGGTGACTAGGGTGACTAGGGTGACTAGGGTGACTAGGGTGACTAGGGTGACTAGGGTGACTAGGGTGACTAGGGTGACTAGGGTGACTAGGGTGACTAGGGTGACTAGGGTGACTAGGGTGACTAGGGTGACTAGGGTGACTAGGGTGACTAGGGTGACTAGGGTGACTAGGGTGACTAGGGTGACTAGGGTGACTAGGGTGACTAGGGTGACTAGGGTGACTAGGGTGACTAGGGTGACTAGGGTGACTAGGGTGACTAGGGTGACTAGGGTGACTAGGGTGACTAGGGTGACTAGGGTGACTAGGGTGGAGGGTTCAGGGAGAGTTGAGTGGGAAGTGGAGGAGCAAGAAGGAGGTTTGGAGGAGAGGGGGAGGAGTAACCCGGATGCAACCGTCAATGGGAAGAGGAGCAAGATGGCTCCATCTCAGGCCTTTGAGCAGCTGAGTGGTGAGTGGTGGGTGGGGAGGCACAATCGACTTATGAGACGTCTCAAAAGCCTTGGGCTTGAGCATGGTGCCTCAGGGCGCGGTACATTCGTGTTCAAAACAGCCTTCTGAACAAGCTGTTCAAGAAATTGCATGGGTTCAGAACGGTAGAATTGAGGTTTTCAGACATTTGTGTATGGCGCAGTGCGGTTGTCTTGAACGTTCTAGTCTTGAACAGCCTTTTGAACAGCAATGTACCGCATCCTCAGCAGGTGAGTGGTGAGATGGGGGTGGGCAGGATCATGGAGGGAAGAGCAAGGAGAGAGGAGGTGGGAACAAGTTGCGCCTTGTTCTGAGCCCATCGCGAGTTTCTTTTCCATCTCATTATTAAGTCGACTCAGAAGTCACCCAGGGATACTTCTTCTCCACCACCTTTGTCGTTTTTTTCCTTTTCATTTCTGTTCTTTTCTTTTCTTTTTGGCTTGTCCGGCTCCGCTGGAACCCTGGGACCTTTGGCTGGAGAATGAGACTCACCTTGCCACCCTCGTTCTGCGCCCACCGCGAGTTGCATCCAGGGTATTTCTTCTCCACCTCCTTCGCCACGTCTCTCAGTCGCTTGCCCTCCTTCAGCAGCTCGTCAAACTCGCCCAGAGCAGCTCTTGCCTTGCCCTGCTCGTCGTAAAACCTCCCCACCATCTTCCCCACGTGGCTGCGAGTAGAGAAACCGAAGGAGGGAAGGGGTAAAGGTTCAAGGCAGAGAGGATTGCCAGCCAGCCGTGGTCCATCTCACTCGTCTCTCAGCCGCTTGCCCTCCTTTAGCAGCTCGACAAACTCGCCCTGCTCGTGATAGATCCATCTCACCCTCTCTGCAATGCCAATGCACTGCTCGCCTGACAGCCTGGCAGTCAGACCCTCACATGCATTCATCCCACACCCAGCACAGAATTCTCGAAAGGCTCTTCCTGCACTGGAGAGGCCTTTCTCACATGTGGTTTTGAAGTAGAGTTCACGCCAGTCAGCGATGCCGATGCACTGCTCGCCTGATAGCTGACTGTCAGCCCCCCACATACAGTCCTCTCACACCCAGCACAGACGGTACGGTCCTCAGCCCCAAGGCACGCACATGAACGTCGCAGGCACGCACATGAACGTCTCATGCACGAAGAAAGTAACTCACATGTACGTTTTGAAGTAGAAGTCGCGCCAGTCTGCAATGCCGATGCACTGCTCGCCGGACAGGCCCGTCAGATCGTCCGTTAAGCCGTCGCCTGCAGGATGGAGAGCGATGGAAAGGGGTGGAGAGGGTTTTTAAACGGGAGGAAACTTGATAGTAAGGGATGGCAAGAGGGGAACAGAACCAGGAGCGGAGTAAGGCCGTGAAAGAGCCATGAGATGTCATGAGGTCCCATGCGGTCCCATGCGGTCCCATGCGGTCCCATGCAGTCCCATGCGGTCCCATGCGGTGCCATGCGGTGCCACGAGGAGTCATGCACGGTGCTGGTGGATGGCCGAAGGCCAGCAGTGGACAGAAACGCTTGAATTTGATATAAAGCAGGCTTACCACTCCTGCGTGGTATGCTATGGCATGGCATGGCATGGCATGGAGCGTCATACCTGAGAAGTTGCCCGAGACGAATGCCCTCGTGGCATCCCTGTGAGACGGGATTGATGGAGAAGGGGAGAGGCATGAGGGAGAGGGGGGAGGTGTGTGAGTGAGGGGAAAAGTGTGAGACAGAGGCCCGGAGGAGTGAGAGAGGGCGCGAAGGCAGGTTGCCACACGGGAAAGCAGGTAGAGAGAAGGGAGATAGAAAGGAGGCAGGGGCAGGAATTAATAGGATGCTAGAGCAGCAGACGAGACAAGGATGATGGCAGAGAAGTTAAAGACCACACAAGCTTGCACGTTTCAAAGTGGGCTGCCAGGCTGCTGCTAACAACGGCCGTCCACGGGAGTGAGAGAGTGCTGCCCTGCCAGCCACTGACACGCCCCTGGTAGCAGCATTCCAAGGCAGTGCTGTTTTCAAAAGCACACCATCCGTCCGGCATCATCGTATTGCCCTATATTACAGATAGGTAGAGTCTAACATATTTCTATTCTTTACAGTGCACAAAACAATAAGCAGTCACCGTGAGCAACGATACTAGGAGCCACTGAAGCAGCAGCAGCATGCAGTGACGTGGCAAGCGCATGCAGTGACGTGGCAAGCGCATGCAGTGGCGTGGCAAGCGCATGCAGTGGCGTGGCAAGCGCATGCAGTGGCGTGGCAAGCGCATGCAGTGGCGTGGCAAGCGCATGCAGTGGCGTGGCAAGCGCATGCAGTGGCGTGGCAAGCGCATGCAGTGGCGTGGCAAGCGCATGCAGTGGCGTGGCAGGCGCATGCAGTGAAGGAGTGTTCCAGGATGCTCTGTGCTTGCAAGGTGCGGTTTGGCTGACCTGCCAGCGAAGTGGTTGTACCCCTGCCCCTTGCCGTAGTGCTTCCTGCCCTTGGTCACGTCAAACACATCCCTGCACGCATGGGGTGTGGGTATGGGGTATGGGTATGGGGTATAGGTATTGGGTATGGGTATTGGGTATGGGTATGGGTACGGGTATGGGGTATGGGTATGGGGTATGGGTATGGGTACGGGTATGGGGTATGGGTATGGGTACGGGTATAGGGTATGGGTATGGGTACGGGTATCGGATATGGGTATGGGGTATGGGTATGGGTACGGGTATGGGGTATGGGTATGGGTACGGGTATGGGGTATGGGTATGGGTACGGGTATGGGGTATGGGTATGGGTACGGGTATGGGGTATGGGTATGGGTACGGGTATCGGATATGGGTATGGGGTATGGGTATGGGTACGGGTATGGGGTATGGGTATGGGTACGGGTATGGGGTATGGGTATGGGTACGGGTATGGGGTATGGGTATGGGTACGGGTATGGGGTATGGGTATGGGTACGGGTATGGGGTATGGGTATGGGTACGGGTATCGGATATGGGTATGGGGTATGGGTATGGGTACGGGTATGGGGTATGGGTATGGGTACGGGTATGGGGTATGGGTATGGGTACGGGTATGGGGTATGGTTATGGGTACGGGTATGGGGTATGGGTATGGGTACGGGTATGGGATATGGGTATGGGGTGGGTATGGCGCATGAGGTTGTGGTCACTCGAATACTTTCTTGCAGGCGGTTGGGGTATGGGAGATGGGATATGGGGATGTGGGGTACCGGGTACGGGGGATGGGAGTGTGGGGCATGCGGTATGGTATATGGGATACGGGGTATGAAGAATGGTGCAATGGGCATGGCGCATTAGGCATGTGGACATGAGGCATGGGGCATGGCGCATTAAACATGCCATCAGCATGTGACCTGCTCTTACAGCAACCGCACAGCAGCAGCATGTGGGTGGGTATGGGGCAACTTATAACTCTGCGACTTTTGAGTCTACTAAAATTTCGCCATGTGACCTGCTCCATACATCAACAGCAACCATGGTGGGTGTGTATGGGGTATCTTTCACTTTGTAAACATCCCCCATATTAAATCCGCATGAACTGAGACGAATTTTTTAGGCGCCTCAAAGCTCGTGGTGGGTGTGTATGGGGTACCTCTCACTCTTCACTCGACCTAGCCTAGGCTTTTGACGCCCCACTCACCCTAGACTGCCCCGCGCGCCACTCACCCCAGAATGCCCCACGCGCCACTCACCCCAGAATGCCCCGCGCGCCACTCACCCCAGGATGCCCAGCAGCAGCGGAAGGCCCTTCGTCGACCCGTTGTACTTGGCCAGCTCCTCCGCACTCCACAGCTTCTGTTATAAACGAGTCAGTCACAATGGAGACAGTCACACTCGAGACAGAGGCGTGCATGCAAACGCGCAGATAGGGCAGCAGCGGATGGGAAAACGCAGGCTGAGAAACCCGAAGGCGCTGGAGAAGCATGTAATCAGCTGACAGAGAGAGCCGGATGCGTGGGGATGCGCCACTGATGCCTTTTTAAATGTCTCAAACCTCGTGCGATAATTTATTTGACAGAGAATGGTATGTGTGTGTCGCGCCACTGTTGAGAATTTACAGATGACTGGAGTATTAACATCCGAGCTAGTTCAGAAGATATGGTCCGAGGGGAAGAAAAGGACGGATGCGGAGGGACAACGAGAATGGATCACGTGACAATAAGGGATGAGGTGACAATAAGGGATCGCTCAGCGAGAGATGATCGCAGCCTTTCGTTGCCAGTCCTGCGGCGCACTCATCGACTCGGCGACGCGCATTGGGGACACATTGAACGGCGAACGCAGCGACTCACATCGGCTTGCCATTGGGCTTTCCGCGGGTTCGACCGCGTCGCGGCCTTCTCGACCGGAGGCGCTTCGCTCTCGCTCTCGCTCTCCCCGTCGTCGTCGATCGCGATATACTCGCTGTATTCCCGCCAGAAATAATAACCCGCGCCGGCCGCTGCCGCCGCCAGAACCACGAGCACCAGCACGAGCCATCCGGACCGCCGGCGCGGCGACGCGCCACGTGGCTTCGCCTTGTCCTTCAACGCGTCGGTATCTTTGATCGCGTTGCCGGCGTCCGGCGCGACGGACGGCTGCGATGCGTCGGCCGCCGTGCGGCGCTGCTTCAAGCTGACGCCTGCCGCTGTCGCCGTGGCCGTCGCTGCGCTGCTCTCGCTCATGGCGAATAGAGAGTAGTATGCGAGCGTAGGCGACAGTGTGTGATAGTATGCACCAACCACCTTCTCGTGAACTATGATCGAAGCACTTAGGCGAAAATAAGGAATTCGTAAATTTGTGAATTTGTGAATCTATGGGGTTGTTGTGATGTGAAACGAGCAGGTGAGCAGCGCTGCTGCGTGCCTCAGCGGGGATCTGGTTGTATGGTAGCACGCCCCTACGCAACCCTCCCGCCAACAGATCCCCCTCTTTCGCCTGCGTCGGCGACTTTTGCTGTCTGTCGTCAATCTAAGGACGCGTTACAGTAAGTCGCCATGTCTTGTATCCCTATTTCGTTGATATTCGTTATAACTCGACACACGTCATCGAGCGCGATGGCTCTTCCAGATCGATCTATCACCCCACTCAAAACATACGAAATGTTCTTACAACTGTCAATAACAATTCCAACCTCGCTAAATCTCGATCTTGAAGACGACCGCGACACATGTGGCTCGGGGGTGATCGATGCCCACAGCTTCGGTGCGTGAACCCGATCCTCCTTCGGTGTGTCAAATGTGATGCGTCCTAATTCTCGAGAAGTACGATGGTCGGTGTTCGGAAGCCAGGATCCTATTGGACAACTAGGTATAACCTCGAAGCCCATTGGTGACCGAGCTGCTTCGAGAACATCACGAGATTGGCGATTGAATCAAATGCTTTCGCGAGCCAGCGGGGAAATGCCGAAGGGAGTGCAAGAGGAACTGCAATACCTTAATGTTTTTTGACAGCTGTAGAACGCAAAGAACCTCACTGAGCCACACTCAAACAGACTTTCTCCCGACAAGCTGGTAAACCACCTGCTTCTTTTCCCTTACATTTTCTTCAGTGCCGTTGACCAGTCAGCCTGCTCCAACTTTCCGCCAATCCCAAGGCGCTTGGAAGTTCGTATCTGTTTGACACGTCAGCTCAGCTGAGCTGTCCATATGTCGATCCTTCTCGCCGCGTACCGCGTGACTGCCGCATCCGCAGCCAGGAACCTGCCATTGCTGTTTTAGGATCAAGACACCGTCGTCCTCAGCCAGGAATTTGCTATTGCTGTTTTAGGATCAAGACACCGTCGTCCTCAGCCAGGAATTTGCTATTGCTGATTCTCTTAGAGCGAGCCTGAGCGAATGAGCGACTCTGTAGTGTGCGACGCCAGTAGTATGGGCGACGCTAGAATGAGCGACCCTAAAGTGAGCGCGAGCGAAGCGGAAGAGGCGCGGAGTGAAGCGAGCGAGCCGCACGACGCGCAGCAGGCGGTGATGATTTTCGTGAAGCGGCCGGCGCCGGGGCGCGTGAAGACGCGCCTGGCGGCCGGCGTGGGGGCGGACGCGGCGTGCGACTTCTACCGCGCGTGCTGCGAGCACGTCGTCACCAGAGTCGTGCTCTGCCCCGACCTGTACGTGACTATAGCGAGGTGGTTTTTTGAGTCGACGCGGCGTGCGCCTTCTATCGCGCGTGCTGCGAGCACGTCGTCACCAGGGTCGTGCTCTGCCCCGACCTGTACGTGACTACAGCGAGGTTAATTTTGAGTCGGCGTGCGCCATTTCGTAACGCGCGTGCTGCGCGTTACTATAACGAGGCGCGCGCACTACAGTCGTCACCAATATCGCACGCTGCCCCGACCTGTACTACGTGACTATAACGAGGTGCAGGGCTTTCAGCGATTACGGTACTAGCTTTTGTAGCCTGACCTCCAGCTGAGCCTCGCATGGTCGCGGCAGGAGCATGTCGGAGGATGGTGCTGTGCCTCATCTACGTGACAGCTTGCATGCTCAATGCGACCATCGCTGTGACCTAGCGTGCGTGTCTGCCTGCCTCATAGTTGGCAAAACTATCCGAATTACTCCCAGCGCATGGATGGCTGTGGACTTCACTTGGATCAACCGTGGCCGATATTTTAATCAGACTATTTAAATGCTTTCGAATCACTCCAGCGCATGATGGCTGTGCCTTGGCAGCCGTGTTGATCAGCGGTGGCTGTGATTGTCGTTTCTATCAGCCGTGGGCCGTGGCTGAGGTGTGGCAGGCAGGCACGCATCCACGCAAGTCTTCATCTTCTTTTCTGAGCCGTCGGATGAAGGCGAGATTAAACGGTGGATGCAGCAGCTTCTGCCATCCTCCACCTCCCTCCGCTTTGTGCCTCAGGTGAGCTCCCCAACTCACCTCAGCTCTGCTATTTACCGTCATGCTCACACCCCATGCTCCCATGCTCACACCCCATGCTCCCACGCTCACACCCCATGCTCATGTGCCGTGAAACCTACATGCATTGCGTGCCTTTGAGAATCCCCAGCAGTCCATTCCATTCACATGCCATAGATCATGCCATGCGTTCCGAATCAATCGCTCCTATGCCACCATCCATGCAGTTGGGAGCAGACATAGGCATACGCTTGCAAGCAGCCTTCCACCACCCTACATCCAAAACCCCAAACCCGTCAGAACCTTTACTGAGATTCTGAACCCATTCAGGTGGGGGGAGACGTGGGGGCGCGCATGCAAGCAGCTTTCCACCGCTCTACATCCAAAACCCTAAACCGTCAGAACCCTTACCCAAATCCCGAATCCATGCAGGTGGGGGGAGACGTGGGGGCGCGCATGCAAGCAGCCTTCCAGCACGTGGTGGGCCTGGGATACCAACGGGTGAGAGTAGGAGCACATCCAGGTTCTGTAGGGTGAGGTGAATTTTGGTACTAAGTCCTCAAAAGTCACGTGGGGGCGCGCATGCAAGCAGCCTTCCAGCATGTGGTGGGCCTGGGATACCACAGGGTAAGAGCATATTGGGGTTGATGCGGGGTGGGCCTTGGGGGTTATGTAAGTCAATGCCTCAGGATGAGTTTTGCAAATTCTGTGAGTATCAGCAAATCAGCCTGCTTGCATTTTTCAATCAGGATTTCAACAGTGTTCCCTGCTTTCCACTCGTTACAAAAGGATTAACAAGAAATCACCCTCGACATTTTCTGCCTGAACAGAAGTCGCTTCCACAGTTAATATTCTGAGTCGACTCAAAAAGTCAAATCACCCTCAACGTGTTTACACAGTTTACCGGAAGGAACAGAAGTCGCTTCCACAGTTTCACTCTTCGACTATCCATGCCATGCTGCCGCCCTTTGGCGAGAGATTGTCATTATTCCGTTTTGACAGGCAGTGCTGATCGGAACAGACATTCTGATATGGATGCCTCTATTGTCACTGCTGCTCTCTCTCCTCCCCATTGCATGTCGCTCGTCTCTCTGCCCCACACACTCCACCATGCCAGGTGGTGCGGGGGTGGTTATCTGAATAGAAATTCCTGATGTGTATGGTGCCACTCGTAATGCCGCTCCCTCTCTCCCCTCCATTGCGTGCCGCTTGTCTCTCTGCCCCACACACTCCACCATGCCAGGTGGTGGGGGGGGTGGTTATCTGAATAGAAATCCCTGATGTGTATAGTGCCACTGCTACTGCCGTTCCCTCTCTCCCCGCCATTGTGTGCCGCTCGTGTCTCTGTCCCCCACACCCCACCATGGCAGGTGGTGGTGATCGGATCAAATCGCACATCCCCGATGTGCATGGCGCTATTGTCGCTTCGCTGCTGCTCTTTCTCTTCCCCATGGCTTGGCCGCTCGTCTTGTTGCCTCGTGCCCCCCACACGCATCCATCCATGGCAGGTGGTGGTGATTGGATCAAATGGGCAATCCTGATGTGGTTGGCGCTATTGTTGCTCCTGTTCTCCCAGCGCCCCACTGCATGCCGCTTGTCTCCCTGCGCCCCACTGCATGCCGCTTGTCTCCCAGCGCCCCACTGCATGCCGCTTGTCTCCCTGCGCCCCACTGCATGCCGCTTGTCTCCCAGCGCCCCACTGCATGCCGCTTGTCTCCCTGCGCCCCACTGCATGCCGCTTGTCTCCCTGCGCCCCACTGCATGCCGCTTGTCTCCCAGCGCCCCACTGCATGCCGCTTGTCTCCCAGCGCCCCACTGCATGCCGCTTGTCTCCCAGCGCCCCACTGCATGCCGCTTGTCTCCCAGCGCCCCACTGCATGCCGCTTGTCTCCCAGCGCCCCACTGCATGCCGCTTGTCTCCCAGCGCCCCACTGCATGCCGCTTGTCTCCCAGCGCCCCACTGCATGCCGCTTGTCTCCCAGCGCCCCACTGCATGCCGCTTGTCTCCCAGCGCCCCACTGCATGCCGCTTGTCTCCCAGCGCCCCACTGCATGCCGCTTGTCTCCCAGCGCCCCACTGCATGCCGCTTGTCTCCCAGCGCCCCACTGCATGCCGCTTGTCTCCCAGCGCCCCACTGCATGCCGCTTGTCTCCCAGCGCCCCACTGCATGCCGCTTGTCTCCCAGCGCCCCACTGCATGCCGCTTGTCTCCCAGCGCCCCACTGCATGCCGCTTGTCTCCCTGCGCCCCACTGCATGCCGCTTGTCTCCCTGCGCCCCACTGCATGCCGCTTGTCTCCCAGCGCCCCACTGCATGCCGCTTGTCTCCCTGCGCCCCACTGCATGCCGCTTGTCTCCCTGCGCCCCACTGCATGCCGCTTGTCTCCCTGCCTGCCTTCACGCTCCATCCATGGCAGGCGGTGGTTATCAGATCAGACATCCCTGATGTAGATGGTGCCACTGCAGCTGCTGCCTTCTCTGCTCTCAGCCACCATCAGGTGACTAGAAGAGAAGTACAGGAGGGTACCACGAGGTGAGAGGAGGCATGGGGGCTTCGCTTGGGCACTACTTGGCGTGCAGAGGTAAGGGGTGATCGGATCAGAGATCCCTCATGGCCACACTTGAGCAGGTGCGCTCTGCTCTCAGGCACCACCAGGTGAGCGGGGGACTGGGGGGTAACAAATATGTAAGGGTGGAAGGGGTTTGAGGAGATGGATTACAGATGCTTGGGCTTGATGACCGGAATTGTTTCCGAGAATCGAATTGTTGGAAAAGAAGAAACGAAGGTCATGCTAGGCTTCTTTGAGAGAAAAAAACAAACAAAAACAAACAAACAAACAAACAAACAATCAAGCAACAAACAAACAAACAAACAAACAAACAATACAGAACGAAATGAATTGGTTCTTTCCAAAAAAGTGCATTTTGTTGGTTGCAATCAACACTCCGATTCATTGCGCTCTTTGGATTCCTGGCAGGTGGTGTTTGGCCCGGCTATGGATGGCGGATACTACCTCCTTGGGCTCACCTCGGTGCTGCCGTGCCTCTTCAATGTATGTATGTGAGCGACGCATGCCATCACATGTAGTGGGCGCATCTCATCCCATGTGTGTGTGTGGGGAATGCGACCAAGAGGGTGTGTTGTCTCGTATGTGCATGTGCTTGGATGGTGGGTACTGCCTCCGTGGGCTCACCACAGCGCTGCCTTGCCTGTTCCATGCATGTGACCATGCATGTGGGGCATGTGACCATGCATGTGGGGCATGTGACCATGCATGTGGGGCATGTGACCATGCATGTGGGGCATGTGACCATGCATGTGGGGCATGTGACCATGCATGTGGGGCATGTGACCATGTATGTGGGGCATGTGACCATGCATGTGGGGCATGTGACCATGCATGTGGGGCATGTGACCATGCATGTGGGGCATGTGACCATGTATGTGGGGCATGTGACCATGTATGTGGGGCATGTGACCATGTATGTGGGGCATGTGACCATGTATGTTGGGCATGTCACCTCGTGTACTGTTGTCATTCCATGCGTGTATGTGAAGCGTGTCCTCATTCCATACTGCAAGTGCATGCAAATGTCAGACCTCTTTTCTGCATCCCTCTCGATCACATTCTCTCATTCTTTACCCTCTTTCCCCAGTCCAACCCTCCTCACTACTCTTCCTCGTGCCATCCTCCCACTTACCCTCTCACTCTCATCCCCCCCGCACCCATCAGGGCATAAAGTGGGGCACAGGCAGGGTGTTTGTGTCATTTTCGAGAATTAGGTTGCTGCATCAGTCACTCACTGACTTCCCTAGTTCTTCGCCCTATTTCCCAACTCCAATCTCTCCTCTCCACTCTTTCCCCTGCCATCCTCCCTCCTCCCTCTTTCCCTCACACCACCATACCCCATCATTGCAAAGAGTGGAACACGCCCAGGGTGCTGCAGCAGTGGCTCATTGCACCACACTCCACACCAACGGAGTGGCTGACGTGGCGCCTCTGGATTCTCTGCCACGCCTGAGGAACATCGACACAGTTCAATACCCCACATCGTGGCTCGCATCCCCCCTGTTCCTTCAGGGCATAGAGTGGAGCACGGAGGGTGTTGCAGCAGTACTGCCTCACTGCACTGCACACCACTCCAATAGGATGGCTGCCTGTCATGCCTGGGGAACATCCACATAGTTCACAACCTCACATCCAGGCTCTTCCCCTCTCTCCCATCTCCCTGTCTCTCATCCCCCTTCAGGCCATAGACTGGAGCACAGACAGGGTGCTGCAACAGTCACTCTTTGCACTCCACACTGTCGGGGTGGCTGACGTGGCGCCACTGGATTCGCTGCCGCGCCTGAGGGACATTGACACTGTTCACGACCTGACAGCCTGGCTCGCAGAGAAGCGAGTGGCGGCGGGCGGCGAAGGGGCTTATAAGGCAGACACTACGGTGCTGAGTGGTTCTGGAGTTCATGAGAAGAATGGGAATGAGGAGGATTCATTGAGGGCAGTGCATGTGGATGTACCCCTAACAACTGATTATACTCTTGGCTGCGTGCATGGAGCCAGTGTTGGCGGAATGGAAGGTGAAACAGACACAGAGGGGCATTCCTGTAGTTGCATGTATTCTTTGCCAAGTAAGCTCAGTAGGTGGATTGTATTAGTGCTGTCTTATGGACCTTGTCCACCACGCTACTACCAGATAGTTGACAAGATGCAGTTGCAAACTTATACTCTGTTGTATAAAGACAAACAATTGTACTGTAATCCGAGAAAAGTAACAAAGGGTATTGGACAAGGATAACTTGCGGTGCAAAATCTTGAGATACCGCTGGCCAATCCCAGCCCAACGAAATCCAGCCGGCTTATTGGTGCCGCACCAATTTGACCGCGGTGGCCTCCGTAAAATGGGCGCATTCATCCTGGTTGCGTTGCGCGGATGTTGCTGCCCTGCGCGGATGAACCCCTGTACATTCATTGTTGGCGGACTGGCCTCGGAACACTTGTCTGATAGGTACTGTACATCGAAGCAACAATCCCCTTCCACCATTTTTTGGATGTACAGAGTGGGTGCAGTCGCTAAACGTAAGTCTAGTTTGTCTTGTGCTGGATTACGTAACCGTAAGTGTCGCTTGTCTGTAACGATTATGGCGGTCAAGTGTTTTGTCAGCGCCACCGCCGTACAGATGCGACGAAGCCAGCGCCAATCTTGCCCCATGGCGGTCAAGTGTTTTGTCAGCACCAGCGTCATACAGATCAGGACGCCAGCGACGAAGCCAGCGCCAATTTTGCCACATGGCGGAAGTGTTTCGCCAGCGCCACCGCCGAACATTGAATCGTGCCGAACTGGTGGCAAACCTTGTCATGTTTGATTTGCCTAGTTGAACCATACTGAACGTAATTTTACCACCGTTAACCGAGCTTTTTCATTATAACCCAAATCACAATGGCGAGAAAGAGGGACGCGATGAGCTGAACCGTAGCTCGCTAGTAACTGAATCGTAGGCGCGGATCCGCGCCTGCGATTTTCCGCCACGTCCCTCTCGCCACTGCCAGGCGGCGGGAGGATTGCCGCGTCTGCGCCGCGTGTTCTACGGACTAGCCCCTTCCCCCTCCTCTTCCATGATCCGCCTCTTCGCAATCCGTTGTCCTCGCGTTTTCCACCCAGGACAGAGTCGTCTCGTTCGCAGCCAAAGAGGAGCGGAGAAGCCGGAACTCATCTTGGCGGTAGTACTATTTAGCCCATCCCGTCCTCCCAACACATCATTCTTCCATCTAACACTTCCTACAAAACCACCACCACCCTCACCATGGCAGACATCGAGACGCAGCAGCAGCAGGCGGGCAACAAGTTCAACAAGAAGCAATCTAAGAACAAGGACAGCGGCAAGAACAAGGACAGCGGCAAGAACAAGGACAGCGGCAAGAACAAGGACAGCGGCAAGAACAAGGACAGCGGCAAGAACAAGGACAAAAGCTACTTTCCAGCGTTTCTGCAAACTGCAAGCAACAACAATGCTGGTCTCGTCGTGCACGATCTCACCGAGATGAAAGTGCAGCGTGGCATGAAGACGATCATCGCGACCGAGTCGCGCGATGCCGCGATCCGCGAGTGTCGTCGCAAGGTCGAGAAGATCTCGCGCGAGTGCCGCATGGACAACGTCAAGTACCGGGACCCGCACTTCGACCTCGCGAATATGCCCAATTTCTGTCTCAAGGGGCTGAAACGGGTTCACGAGGGCGAGGACGATGGGCCGGCCGCAGCGAAACGCGTCGGCGATCTCTACGATGAGCCGCTTTTCATTGTCGACGGCATCCGCGCCGAAGATATCAAGCAGGGCGGCGCGGGCGATTGCTGGTTCCTCGCGGCGGTGGCGACGATCGCGAACATGCCCAAGCTGCTCGAGTCGATCTGCGTCGCGCGCGATGAGCAAGTCGGGGTCTACGGGTTCATCTTCTTCCGCGACGGCGAGTGGATCTCCGAGGTCATCGACGACCAGCTCTTCGTGACGCACCCAGACTACGCCGACGCCGACGACGACATGAAAAGCGTGTTCCCGACCGAGAAGGACTACGTCAAAGCCGTCCAGCGCGGCTCCAACGCACTCCATTTCGGAAAATGCGTCGATTCGAACGAGACCTGGCTGCCCCTGCTCGAGAAGGCGTACGCCAAGGCGCACGGCGATTACTCCGCCATCGATGGCGGGTTCACGGGCGAAGGGGTCGAGGATTTGACCGGTGGCGTCACGTCCGAGATCATTACGCGCGACATCCTGGATAAAGAGCGCTTCTGGAAGGACGAGCTAATGAAAGTGAACAAGGAACTGCTTTTCGCGTGCGCGATCTCTGGCGTGAACGCGGTCAAGGTGAACGGGCTCATCACAAGCCACGCCTACTCTGTGCTCCAGGCCGTCGAGATCAAGGGGACGCGACTCGTGCACGTGCGGAACCCGTGGGGCCAGTCCGAGTGGACGGGTCTATGGGCCGATGGCTCGCCCGAGTGGACGGCCGAGTGGATGACCGCGCTGAACCATCGGTTCGGGGACGATGGCGCGTTCTGGATGAGCTATGACGATTTCCTGGCCACGTTCACGCAGCTCGACCGCACGCGCATCTTCACGCCCGAGTGGACCATGGCGCAGGCCTGGACCCAGGTCGAAGCGCTCTGGCCGGCCAAGTTTGCGGGGCAGGAATTCCAGCTCACACTGAGCAAGGACTCGCCGGTCGTGATCGTGCTGCAGCAGGTGGATGCGCGGTATTTCGCGGGGCTTGAGGGGAAATACGACTTTCAGCTGCATTTCCGCGTGCGTAGCGAGGGCGAGAGTGATTACTATGCGCGCTCGAAGCAGACACTGGTGATGAACCGGTCGGTGAATAAGGAAGTGTTCCTGGAGGCCGGCACGTGGCGTGTGAGTGTCAAAGTCTCCCGCGAGCCGACTGCTCGGCCGACGCGGCAGGACTGCGTGAAGACGTTCGAGAGAGTTCAGTCAAGGAAATTCCACACTGTCGCGCGGAATTTCGTCTACGCGCATGCCAAGGCCGTGGATACGACGCAGTGGGAGGAGATTGACGAGGAGATTGACGAGGAGGTGGAGGACGAGGAGCCCGAGACGGAGGAGCAGGCGGATGAAGAGGAGGGATCAGAGGAGGAGGAAGAAGAGGAGGACGACGACGCCTTGGATGCGGTGGCAGTGGTTGGTGTGCGTGTGTACGCCACGGACCCGAAGCTCAAGGTCGAGTGTGCGCCCGTGGAGGACGTGCTGCTGGGCTTGGACCCGGATGACTCGGCCGTCATGGCGTAACTCGCCAATGCCGCGGGTCAGGCCTCAGGATACAAAAAAACGTCGTTTTTGTTTTGCGGGGGGGTTTGGCATCCGAAACAGGTTTCGGAAGATTGGTTCGGCGAAATGGTTCGGCGAAATCTGTGCCAGCTTTGACCTGATTGGGCGGGACAACATGGCGCGTCCGAAACATGGCGTCGTAAATGGGCCAGTCAGTAGACATTTCGGGGTCGTGAACCACTGGGGCTGTTCATGTCTGCGGTTAGGCAATTTGTGACCGCTAATGGGGTGTTCGTTTTAATTGACTGTTAATACTTGTAAGCAGTGATCGTAAATAGCCATAAACAACTGTTTGCGAGCCATTATAACCCAGTTGACAATACACGCACAAATTTCTACACTTGCATTAGATTTGAATTTTCAGCTCTCGATGCGCTTTTGGTACCAGAAACATGAATTAAATATATTTATATATTCTTGGACATACAACGGTGGGCATGCTGGTATCATTATGTGATGAACAGACATAGCAAAATATTACCCCTCCTATAGTTGTCACCAAACTGATACGCCACAGTAAGGTGAACCTGGTGCAGATAGAAAGGTGTACGCCTGCTGAAATCAACACATAACAAACCATCACAATAGCAGGCGCACGCAGTTAGACGAAAAATGGAAAACGGAAAGTGAGCAGGCGGAATAAATATGACTGACGACGGGCGTCACGTGCGCTACCATATCTCAGGATAGCATGACTTGAGAAACGAAAGACGCAAACGTCGTCATAATTCGTCAGCATCCAGAAATCGAGGCGGAACAATAACAACCGCGCTGCCGAACCAGGAGAGAGAGTGCGACGACTTGAGATGAACAGGGGCGATAGCGCCACAAATAGAAGTTGAACCGTGTGAGCGCGATAACTGAAGCAGCTGCGCTAAACTGAACGCAAACTAAATAAGCGAAAGTGCCATGGCTGATGACGGAAGCTGAGCAAGGAGAGAGTGATGACCGAAGCAGTTGAGCTAATGTGATAAAAAATGAAGCAGCTGTGTGAATAAGAGGGAGTTGGCGGGGAGGGAGCCTTCGATGCGCATCAGCTCAACCAGCGAGAGCGAGCTGTGTGGCTGTGTCCATCAATTGCACTTGACCGCCAGCTCAGCAGGGTGGTTTGTCACGATAGGTCCAGAACTTCGCTGAAATCTTATCTGCGTCATCTAGCGAATGACAGAGCGCGTTAGTGTACCTGACCAGAAACACGGATGTACATGGGGCTCCCCCTCACCACACTAGGATCAATCGCGAATCTCGCGATGTTCTTGAAGCAGCTCGTTGTCCAATGGGCTTCGAGGTTTTCCCTAGCTGTCCAATGGAATACTTGCTTTGGAACACCGACCATCCTACTTTCCGAGAATCAAATTGACAACAAATATGACCGTGGCGAATGGAGGCGAAATAAGGGAATTTGTTGGCGGGAGGATTACAGTACATATGTCCGCGCTATTGTATTGTACCAGACAAACCAGATCTCCTCTGTGGCGCGCAGCAGCGGCGCAAGAAAATTCGCAGAACCGCAGGACAGCGCAGACGAGTACACCCCGCCTGCTCCATTTGCTAGCTTCGGTTCAAATCAGAAAGGACTAGTGCGAAGTGGAGATTCATACATTTCGTCACGAAGTGCTTCGAGCGCAGATCACGACCAGGTTTACGACGAGGTAGCTGTCGCCTACGATCGCATATTATCGGATACTACTCTCTATTCGCCATGAGCGAGAGCAGCGCAGCGACGGCCACGGCGACAGCGGCAGGCGTCAGCTTGAAGCAGCGCCGGACAGCGGCCGACGCATCGCAGCCGTCGCCACGTGGCGCGTCGCCGCGCCGGCGGTCCGGCTGGCTCGTGCTGGTGCTCGTGGTTCTGGCGGCGGCAGCGGCGGGCGCGGGTTATTATTTGTGGCGGGAATACAGCGAGTATCTCGCGATCGACGACGACGGGGAGAGCGAGAGCGAGAGCGAAGCGCCCCCGGTCGAGAAGGCCGCGACGCGGTCGAACCCGCGGAAAGCCCAATGGCAAGCCGATGTGAGTCGCTGCGTTCGTCGCTGGATGCGTCGCCGAGTCCCTGAGTGTGTCGCAAGGATGGCGACGAGGGGCGATTATTTCCCGCTGAGCCATCCCTCTGTCACCTCATGCCCTATTGTCACCTGATCCATTCCCGTTGTCCCTCCGCGCGGGTCCACTCTGTCAGGTGGAAAATGCGCACGACGTTTGAGACATCTTAAAAAGTCATCCGTTGCGCATCATAGACATGTTTGAGAGCGGCGCATCAGCATCTAAAAATCCTACACCCTCTGTCAGCAGAGCACATGTTTCCGCAGCGCGACTCCGAACCTCCCCCTTTAAATTCTCACCCTGCGTTTCCCCATCCACTGCTGGCCTATCTGTGCGCGTGCATGCATGCCCCACTGTCTCGCTTGCGACTGTCTCGATTGTAACAACAGCTGTGGAGCGCGGATGAGCGCGGATGTGCATATGCCCATGACCTGCCCCCTCGCATGCCATATCTCACTGTCTCCATTGTGACTGTCTCGTTTGTGAATGTCTCGTTTGTGAATGTCTCGTTTATATAACAGAAGCTGTGGAGCGCGGACGAACTGGCCAAGTACAACGGGTCGACGAAGGGGCTTCCGCTGCTGCTTGGCATTCTGGGGTGAGTGGCGCGCGGGGCATTCTGGGGTGAGTGGCGCGCGGGGCATTCTGGGGTGAGTGGCGCGCGGGGCATTCTGGGGTGAGTGGCGCGCGGGGCACTCTGGGGTGAGTGGGGCGTTTGGATTAGTCAGAGGTATGCGTGGGCAGTGGACAGGCGAGGGTGAGTGGGGCGTGGCGTGGGCAGTCTAGGGTGAGTGGAGTGCGAGCAGCCTAGGCTAGGTTGAGTGAAGAGTGAGAGATACCCCATACCCACCCACCATGAGCTGTGTTCATGGCTGCCGTTGAGGGAGCAGGGCACATGCCTAATGCGCCATGCCCCATGCCTAATGCGCCATGCCCCATGCCTAATGCGCCATGCCCCATGCCTAATGCGCCATGCCCCATGCCCCATGTCCACATGCCCAATGCGCCATGCCCATTGCAACATTCTTCATAGACCATACCTCATATACCATACCGCGTGCCCCGCACCCTCATCACCCATACCCCGCACCCCACTTCCCCATATCCCATACCCCAACTCTGCAAGGATGATTTTGAGTTACCAAGGGCATAAATCACTCTACGGCATGGGCAGGCGTCTGATTTGAGGCGCCTCAAAACCTATGCCCCATACCCCATGCCCATAGCCCATACCCCATGCCCATAACCTATACCCCATGCCCATAACCCATACCCCATGCCCATAACCCATACCCCATGCCCATAACCCATACCCCATGCCCATAACCTATACACCATGCCCATAGCCCATACCCCATGCCCATAACCTATACCCCATGCCCATAACCCATACCCCATGCCCATAACCTATACCCCATGCCCATAACCTATACCCCATGCCCATACCCCATACCCCATGCCCATAACCCATACCCCATGCCCATACCCCATACCCCATGCCCAGAACCCATACCCCATGCCCATAACCCATACTTCATGCCCATACCCCATACCCCATGCCCATACCCCATACCCCATGCCCATAACCCATACCCCATGCCCATAACCCATACCCCATGCCCATAACCCATACCCCATGCCCATAACCCATACCCCATGCGCATACCTCATACCCCATGCGTGCAGGGACGTGTTCGACGTGACCAAGGGCAAGAAGCACTACGGCAAGGGGCAGGACTCTTTTTGGAGGCGCCTCAAGAGCACACCCCCATACCCCATACCTGGCGCCCCAAACCCCCAGAAATTCGCTCTTGGTTCCTGCTGTCCCATGCCCCATACCCCATGCGTGCAGGGACGTGTTCGATGTGACCAAGGGCAGGCAGCACTAGGGCAAGGGGCAGGGGTCTGTTTGAGGCGCCTCAAAGACTCACCCCGCACCTGGGGCCTTAAACCCCATAACCCATACCCATACCCATACCCCATAACCCATACCCATTCCCCATAACCCATAACTGCAGTGACGTGTTCGACGTGACCAAGGGCAGGCAGCACTACGGCAAGGGGCAGGGGTACAACCACTTGCACAGAGCATCCAGGGGCGTGTCAATGGCTGGCAGGGCAACAATCGTTCACTGCATGCGCCTGCCAGGCCACTGCATTCTGCTGCAGTTTCAGTGGCTCCTAGTTTTTATGCTGGGTGGTTGTGCTTCCAAAAACAGCAATGCCTTAAAATGCTGCATCCAGGGGCGTGCCATTGGCTGGCAGGGAAGCAGCACTCCCGTGAACGGCCGTTGTTGGCAGGCCATTTTAAGCGTGCAAGCTTGTGTGTTGTTCATCTTCTCTGCCATCATCCTTGTCTTGTCCACTGCTTCCCCCATCCTCTTTATTCCTGCCCCTCTCTCCTTTCTATTTCACTTCTCTCTACCCGCTTCCCTGTGTGGCAACCTTCCTTCACGTTCTCTCTCATTCCTCCCCACCTCTGTCTCACACTTTCCTCCCTCACTCACACCTCCCCCATCTCCCTCCTTTCCTCTCCTTTTCTCCACGAATCCCATCTCAGAGGGAAGCCACCAGGGCATTCGTCTCGAGAATTTTCTCAGGTACGACTCGTGATACCGTGTCATGCCATACCATACCATGACATGCCATACCAACCCATGCCATAGCATACCACGCAGGAGTGGTAAGCCTGCTTTATATCAAATTCAAGCGTTTCTGTCCACTGCTGGCCTTCGGCCATCCACCAGACCAGCACCGTGCATGGCACCTCGTGGCACCACATGGCACCACATGGGACGACATGGGACCACATGGCACCGCATAGGACCGCATGGGACCACATGGGACCACATGAGACCGCATGGCATCTCATGACTCCCTCAAGGCTTTACTCCTCTCCCCCACACCTTCCTTTCCC